TCTACTTTGGTTTCATCTGACCACATGACATTCTCCCAATCCTCTGCTGTATCATCCATGTGCTCTCTGGCAAACTTCAGACGGGCCTGGACATGCACTGGCTTCAGCAGCGGAACATGTCTGGCACTGCGGGATTTGATTCCCTGCCGTTGTAGTGTGTTACTGATGGTGACCTTTGTTACTTTGGTCCCAGCTCTCTGCAGGTCATTCACCAGGTCCCCCCGTGTGGTTCTGGGATCTTTGCTCACCGTTCTCATGATCATTTTGACCCCACGGGATGAGATCTTGCGTGGAGCCCCAGATCGAGGGAGATTATCAGTGGTCTTGTATGTCTTCCATTTTCTGATGATTGCTCCCACAGTTGATTTTTTCACACCAAGCTGCTTGCCTATTGTAGATTCACTCTTCCCAGTCTGGTGCAGGTCTACAATACTTTTCCTGGTGTCCTTCGAAAGCTCTTTGGTCTTGGCCATGGTGGAGTTTGGAGTCTGACTGTTTGAGGCTGTGGACAGGTGTCTTTTATACAGATGATGAGTTCAAACAGGTGCCATTCATACAGGTAACGAGTGGGGGACAGAAAAGCTTCTTACAGAAGACGTTACAGGTCTGTGAGAGCCAGAGATTTTCCTTGTTTGAGGTGACCAAATACTTATTTTCCCCCCTAATTTACGAATAAATTCTTTACAAATCCTACCATGTGAATTCATGGATTTTTTTTCACATTCTGTCTCTCACAGTTGAAGTGTACCTCTGGTGCAAATTACTGACCTCTGTCATCATTTTAAGTGGGGGAACTTGCACAATCGGTGGCTGACTAAATACTTTTTTGCCCCACTGTATCTCAGCAGGATTTAAACATATGTTGGTTGGGTGAATTAAGATGCTATAAGTTATTCAATATTAATGGGATAAGTTGTGATTTGTGTTTGCTTTAGAGGTGAAATAAATAGAAACAGAGCTCATTATTTGTCATCACCAGCCACAATTCATCATAAAGCAATTATGTTGGGAAAAAAGCTGCCTGCTTTCCAGTTTACTCTCAGCTGTGGTGTTTATCATGGAAATGGCAGATAAAACACACAGACACTAATGACGGGAGCCGGTATATGACATTGTAGAGCAGTAATGTATTTTAAACTAGCGTGTAACACAGTTAAGCTCATATCTGTCATCTCTGTCACTTACAGGTGCAAGCTACAGATGACACTGTTATGTTATTAAGACATGAAGATTTGTAGATTTAATCTTGTTTTATTGCATCTTGTAATAAAACAAGTTTAAATTGCAGGGGCACACACAAGAAACAATATACAGATTTCACATTACATTTGAATGTAAGGATATGTGGTTACAGTTTGCTGAAGTAATGTATAAGATAAGATAAGATAAGATAACCTTTATTAGTCCCACACGTGGGAAATTTGTTTTGTCACAGCAGGAAGTGGACAGTGCAAAAGTTATGACGCAAAAATTAGAATACAATAAGAATAAATACAGTACACAGCTGTACAGAATGGAATAAAATAATATACTATATACAGTAGAATAAAATAGAATAAAAATATACAATAAGATAAAAATAGAATACGAATGCTATATACAACTGAGTAAAAATACAACGATGCCAGAAAAGATTATTGCACTTAGTGTTGTATGTTAGATGACCACTGTAAGTCAATAAGGAATGAAGTATAACTAACCTGCAAGTCTACTAAACAGTACAAGATTGTTTTAATGATTATTTTTAGAGGGTTTTTTTAGAAAGTTTTATATTTCTGAGAACTCTGCTTTCTAAAATTTGTCTGTATTTGTTTCATTGGATCTAAGAAGCGTAGTAAAGGTCTCCATCTCAGCTTCTACTTATATTATGTCAACTGCCTGGATCACCGTGTTCTCAGTGAATGGCGGATTTTATTTCTTTTCTGTTAATTGTGTATATGTATATATGGTGTATATATATATATATATATATATATATATATATATATATATATATATATATATATATATATATATATATGTACCACCGGCAGATAGAGGAGGTGGCTGATATCCAGAAATCCTACCAGCTGGACTGAAAGACAGCACAGAGGCACTAATCATGGCAGCACAAGAACAAGCTCTGAGTACAAGATCCATAGAGGCTGGGGTCTATCACACCAGGCAAGACCCCAGGTGTAGGCTGTGTAAAGATGCCCCAGAGACAATCCAGCACATAACAGCAGGGTGCAAGATGCTAGCAGGCAAGGCATACATGGAACGCCATAACCAAGTGGCCGGTATAGTGTACAGGAACATCTGTGCCGAGTATAACCTGGAAGTCCCGAGGTCAAAATGGGAGATGCCCCCAAGGGTGGTGAAGAATGACCGAGCTAAGATCCTGTGGGACTTCCAGATACAGACGGCCAAAATGGTGGTGGCTAACCAACCGGACATAGTGGTGGTAGACAAACAGAAGAAGACGGCCGTAGTGATCGATGTAGCGGTTCCGAATGACAGCAATATCAGGAAGAAGGAACACGAGAAGCTGGAGAAATACCAAGGGCTCAGAGAAGAGCTCGAGAGGATGTGGAGGGTGAAGGTAACGGTGGTCCCCGTGGTAATCGGAGCACTAGGTGCGGTGACTCCCAAGCTAGGGGAGTGGCTCCAGCAGATCCCGGGAACAACATCGGAGATCTCTGTCCAGAAGAGCGCAGTCCTGGGAACAGCTAAGATACTGCGCAGGACCCTCAAGCTCCCAGGACTCTGGTAGAGGACCCGAGCTTGAAGGATAAACCGCCCGCAGGGGCGTGCTGGGTGTTTTTTTTTATATATACCTTTATGTTTCCTTAAGTGTTGTATTGAAGGCAGCCATGTGGTGGCAACCTGCAGGGGGATTTATCTATTTTCAGTCACACAGGGAGAAAATGACAGGAGTAAATCACAGTCTACTCACTCAGAGAAAAATCCAGTTCTCCTTGGAGAGAAGGGAATCCATTTACTTAGGATGTGAAAGTGACACAATGCAATTTAGAAACTGAATATTATGGGGTTTTTCTCCCCTTTTCTCTTTCAAACATAAAATAATACAGCTGCTTGTTTTTAGCTTATCAGCAGTAGACACTTACAGGGATTAACTTACAAAGGTAGATATAGAAAATTCTATATCTCAAGTGCACATTATCCAGTCTGTCCCAAACTTGACATGCTTGACGGAAGTCCAAGTCTGGAGATGTCTATGTGCCAATATTAGGTAACACTTATGGCACCATGTAGTGGTACAGGAAATCAGCAGAAGGCGATAATCATCCCATGTACATCAAATTTTCATTGGTGGTTCCACAGATGATATACTGTGGCATGGCATATAATTAGTAGATATTCTCCAGCAACACCTAGTGTTGGGCTTAAAACACTCACATGACAACATGAAACTCTTCGCCTACAACCCAACCGACCTGTAATATGGATAGAGTGCAGCATGAGTGGATGTGCACAGAGAAGCGAGGGCCTGATAAATGCTGTTTGCAACTTTAATTTGAAATTAATATTTTTATGAGAAGCATATTGAAGTTTATCATCATCATTATGCAAACAAAATGACTGAGATAAAATGATCATTTTGCCACATTCAATTTTGAATTGTGAATTATAACACCCTTTACATTTGATTATTACTTTTGCGATAATCCAGTAGCCCTGTTTGGTTTCAGACAGTGATAAAGAGACAGCATTTAAAGTTTTTACTGCAGCTTTTTTCTCATTGGCCATCAGAAATGATGAATTTCATGGAAAGAGTTGGTTGTAATAAGGGTATTGTGTCAGCAGTGTATTTTGGCCTAACGCAAGAAAATCCAGTTGCTGAGTGCACAAGGACGACTTTCTGAGCTCAGTTGCCTCCTCCACCTACAAGAAATCTGCCATGCTTACTCTGAGTGCAGGCAACAGATGCTCTAAATGCACCTTCACTTGATGGTAATCAACTGTGAGCAGAGCATTTTAAGAGCAGTTTGAATGTTGACGTCATTTCAAAGTTATACATCATTCTCAGTGTAATCTGATTCCTCCAGCTCTTTTAGAATTCCAGCGGCAGTCAAACAGGATGGACATGAATAATTCAGAGAAGAGCTGTTCAGAAGTAGTGCCGCTGCTACTTCATCGTCACTTCGTTGTGAGGCTTCAGCTAGAAGCAATTACAAAAGGGCTTCTTTTCCAAAGTAAATATCTATTTTCACTAAGTTTCATGTTCTCCTTTATTTGGGGGGGGCATGCCTGCTGTATGAGATTTATTCTGGTAATGTTCAGCATTATAAGCAGTTCATAATTCTAGTGATGCTGCTTTTCTTACTGTCAGAAAATCTACTAAAAGGGCAAAAAGTATCAATGAAATGATCTAACAAAAGTATTGAATTGCATTAAATGTTTAGGAGTTACAGCGATTCTTATACAGGCAATAAGGAATTCAGTTGCTGATTTCATGCTGTATTTGGTTTTATTTTCATTGACTGTTTTGTTAGGTTTAAACACCATAACTGCTTGGTAATGATTAGGTAAGGGTAAGGAAAAGATTGTGATCTGGTTCTCAGTAGGCTCTTTCAATCCAGACATTGAAGAGTTATGATAAAAGGTACCCATGAAAGCTACGCCAAAATTTGGGATTATAGATTACAGAAATAACGTAATGTAATAACATAATATTGGAATCTTGGAATCTTGGAATTCCACCCTCACAGTTCAGTCTTGGGCTCATCAGATCAGATAATGTCTTCCTCATGCTCATAGTTCCTCGTAGTTTTTTAAAAAGCAATTTGACAAGCTGCCATATCGTTTTACTAACAAGTCCTCTCCCTGTGGTAGCAAGAATTGCTGTTGAGATCCTTTAATCAGGTTCTCTCATCTCTTCAGAGAACTTCTGAATGTCTGTTGACTTGGAGACTTGGAATTTCTTTCTTGATCAATGGCCCCTCTTTATGTCTCCTAAAAGAGAAATATTCCTAATGTTGCTTAAATCTGTCCTCTAGGTCTCCTGACACTGACAACTACAACAACTACAACTCACCAGAAAGACAGGTTCCCATCATCCATTACCCATCATCAGCTAGCGGACCATACTCTCCAGCTTCAGTTGCTGAAGACCAATCACAGAACACCGCAGCCTTCAGAGTCGCAGGTCAAAGCACCAGCACTTCCTGTTTGATGCATCGGTGAACTCTGGAAACTGAAGCTTAAACTTCTTTTGGGGAAAAACAGTGACTGTGTTCATTTTCCAAGAGATTTGAAAAGCAATTTTAGTGCATTGGATGGATATCTTTTTTGTGGCACAAAACTCTGTTTCATTTTTACATACCAAAGATGAACAGAGCCCACGAAGACATGTTTTTGGAGGGGATGAGACATTCAGAATGCCACTATACCTACTATATCTTTGCATAGAAATGAAAATATTGTATAATTATCTACTACATGGCTTAACTAAGAAAAGTTTTAAAAAAAAAGTTATAAAGAGTTATTTAAAAAAAAAAAATGTGTTTCTGGATGAAGAGAGATGAAGCTGTTGTTTCTGTTGAGACACTCTGGCTATGTGCTGGACATCAGTCTGGTAGAGAGGATAAAAAATCATATCTGACATTTTTATGATAGAAACATCAAGACTTGCACTTTATGTAGACATTTGAAATGTTGTTTTACAGATAGAAATTTCCATCGACCAGGCAGGAACACTTTGAGTGTGGTAACAAGTAGAAAAATATACAGTAACTGTTCAAACTGATGCGCATACTTAAAACAATGGAACTAAGTGAACCTCAGACAGTTTTTATAGTACTTGATTTTGAACCTCTTTGGGTTCACTTTTATGTTATATCAGACATTACAATTGTCAAAGATTTCAGTTTTATTGTGCAGGTAACAACTGAGGCAGTGATGCTGATAAATGCATGGAACTTCAGCAATGTGAACTCACCTAATTTAATTTAGACATAAATTAGGTGATTAGCCTAATTTAATTTAGACATAAATTAATTTAGACATAAATTAAATTAGGACATAAATTAAATTAGGCAGCACGGTGGCATGGTGGTTAGCACTGTTGCCGCACAGCAAGAAGGTCCTGAGTTCAATTCCAACATCAGGCCGGGGTCTTTCTGTGTGGAGTTTGCATGTTCTCCCCGTGTTTGCGTGGGTTCCCTCCGGGTACTCCGGCTTCCTCCCACCGTCCAAAGACATGCAGCTTGTGGGGATAGGTTAATTGGATAACCCAAATTGTCACTAGGTGTGAATGTGCAAATGAATGTGAGTGCGAATGGTTGTTTGTCCCTGTGTGTTAGCCTTGCGACAGACTGGCGACCTGTCCAGAGTGTACCCCGCCTCTCGCCCTATGACAGCTGGGATAGGCTCCAGCGCCCCCCGCGACCCTGAAAAAGGATAAGCGGAAGTGAATGGATGGGATGGATAAGTAACATCAGATATTTCAGGAACATAATATTGTCTCTTCAGATAAAACAATGCAGTGTAGTAGCTCCCGATGGTTACAGGTCACTATCCCTCATTAAAAAACCCCATCAAACTACAGATTTATAGAGGATTCCTGGCCATTCCACCAGACTACATTGTATATTCTTCTACATTTTTCTATATTTGGCCAACATGCAATTTGCAATGACGATTTCAGTTAAGCAAGGAATTTCATACCACACACTATTTCTGTTTGAGAGCAGAACACATAAGAACACAATAGATTTTCAAGTTCCAAAGTTAACAGTTTTATACATTGTATGTTAGTAGAAAGCCATGCTTGACTCATGTTTGAAACCTGTTGTTATTCAAAGCTTGGTCTGACAGTTATATTGTTTTTAAGCTGGGACTGAGAAGGTGTTTTCATTTTGACCACTTTCTGATGGGTTACCTTTCAAATACTTACATATCATAAGTAATACTTAAAGTAATAACTGATCATTTGTTTACATCAGTTATGAAATATTACCTACATTTTTCCACGTACTGTCATTAAAAATCAAGTTGTGCATTAAGCCAATAAATCTACAGTAGTAAACAAAAACTGGTTGACACCAGCTCTTTACAGATAGCAGAAGACAAATATGAAGTGTTATGTGAAAGAGATGTTTCAAACCTGGGCAAGCTAATTTATAGGAATTAAAATCAGTTATTATACAACTATACACTAAGTAAAAAAAAGAAAAAAGCAAAAACAAAAAATAAACAAAAAAGTGACATTGATTTATTTTCCCCCTTCAACAGCTAAATGTATACCAACTCTAACAATTCCATGTTTCTGTAGGTCATCGCCTTATCTCACTCTTATTCAGCAATGGGAAATTAAGTTGTTGTTCCCTTGTTCTGTCCTTATGGAACCATTTTTTCACTAAATAGAAAATGCAGTTTAATTGCCTATCTTCCCAAATGTTTTCTTCTGGTGACAAATTAAATACTTTTATATGGAAAATAACAAGTGCAGGGAACAAATCCGCAACTATCTCAATATTCACTATTTTTAGGGTCTTGACCAATGTTCCCTCTAAGCTGCGCACGTGTGCAATTGCGCACTGTTTGCACGATCTCTGCGCAGAGAAAGTCTGTGTTACGCACACAAAAAGAATTCTAACCTGAATTGAAATTAAAGTAAATATGTGCTAGTGTTTTAGCTAGCAAAGCGGCGTGGCTGATGTGGAGTGAAGCCACGTTAATGACAATGTGTACAACCATTGGAGATGTGAGCAGGACAGACGGAACAATTGACGGAGTGTGTGGACTTTATACCAGCTTTTAAATTGTGTTGATAGGCCACGTAAAACCAGAGTTATGATAAAAAAAAAAATGCAATGTTTGGTTTTCTTCCTGAATACTATCGTTCTTTATATTTATTGCGGGGAGAAATGGTAAAAACAGCGTTTTATAAGGAAAACGCTCGAAAGCGCTCTCCACCTGTGAGCAAAGACGAAACCAAAACACCCCACCCTTTCCCATTGGTCGAAAAATGTACCATGTCGACCAATCAAAACATGGCATTTAGTTGTTAAGAAACGGGAAGTTTTAGGAGTGACAGCGGTGTTTTGAGTTGTGAGAGATTTGCAACGTTTAGCGCAAATCTTGTGTAGTTAGCGTGTAGTGTAGTCAATAGTTTTGTTGTGTGTGTCAGAACAATGAGGCGACTGCTGAATGTTACAGGTGTTACAGGAGTGATACATCTCCTGCTGTCAGGCCTGCAGTGTTGGGAAGGTTACTTTTAAAATGTATTCCATTACAGAATACAGAATACATGCCCCAAAATGTATTCTGTAACGTATTCCGTTACGTTACTGAATGACAGTAACGTATTCTGAATACTTTGGATTACTTAATATATTATCATGCTTTTTACAACAACGTGAATGTACTATTGCTGTGTGATTTATTACTATTACTGAAGGTCCGCGACTCCGAACTGTAGTAAAGGGACCTCTGACTAATACGGCGGGGTCCCTGTCGGCTCGTAGCCGAAAAATAGCTTTACTTTGTTGTGTGGGTCAACTTTTCTTGCAAGAGACAGAGAGAGGCGTTGAAAGACTGCTCCAACGGAACTTATTGTTTTCGGATGAAAACACGAACACGGTGTACAGTCGAGTCTTAATAGCTTACTTACAACTGGGCTCGTCAGGCACTCTTCTTGGCTGAAGTGGTTATTATTATATTTACATGCTTCCAGCTCCCGTTTTTCCTCGATGACAACTCGTACCTTTCCACTACCCTTTTTCTCTCTCCCTCCTCGCGCTCACAGACACATAACGTGTATGGCAGTCCATTCTCCCTGCAACACGGACTACACTGCCCATGATGCTACATTCTTTAGAGCTATGCTTGTAGCATTCTGCCTGTTAGCTTAGCACAACAACAACAACAACAACAACGAAAAGGTGCTCTCTCACCCAGGAAACACACAGTCGCAGAGAGAGAGAGAGAGCGTCGCCCTGTAACCATGGCAACCGTAACGCTGCCGCCTGGAACAACAGAACGTAGCTGTCAAACAAAACCCAAACAGTCCTGACCCGCGACAAAATGAAACAGGAAAGTACCGCAGTGTAATCCATTTATTTCAACAAAGTAACTGTATTCTGAATACCACCTTTTTAAACGGTAACTGTAACGGAATACAGTTACTCATATTTTGTATTTTAAATACGTAACGGCGGTACATGTATTCCGTTACTCCCCAACACTGCAGGCCTGCAGGTATCATGTTGTTCTCCTTTATCTCATAGTGGACAGAAATTTTTTGGAGTGGCACAAAGAATTTGTGTGGCATCAAATTTGATGCAGAACAGCTGATTGTTCTGTAAATAGTTCGAAATGTTTATTTAAAAAAAAAAAAAAAAAACACCTTGGCTGCATTTTTAGGTAAACAGCTGCAAAAAACTTTGTTTCCAAAACTCAGTAACTTTTTTGAAGAACTATATAATTAATTGCCCAACATTGGTCATTATATACTTTATTTGGCAGACAGGGTTACAGGACTCTCTCCCAGACCACAGACTCATAATACAAGTCAGAGCTCTATTTACAAAAAAAAAAAAAAAAGTTGTGTTTTCAAAATTGGAGTTCAAGTTATTTTTACTTCTAATAATGTTAACATACTACACAGGTCATGAATGTGGCAGCACGAGGTGAGAATAAAGTAAATACTCTTCGCAACGGGAACAGACGGTAAAAGCAAAGCAAAGCAGCAGCACTTCAGTTAGCGTGGCATTGCGTAAAACTAAGGCCCACACTTCCTGCAAAGCATAATAAGTTATTACTATAAAAGAATAAAAGGCAGAGATTGTAACAAAATTGAATTACGTACCGAGTAAACCGCGTCATGAAACATGAGCAGAGTGGCTCATAGGAGGCTTCTACAGCTATGACCTAAAAACAATATCTGTTTACCACCAAGTAAGGTAATGTACACACTACAATGAGTGAACACCTACCAGCCACGATGGAGGCTTCAGAATGATCTCTACAACACCAAAGGGAAGTCAGGTGACCAAAAAGGAGATCACAGGTAAGCGATCCAGGAATGCTCAAATGGCCACTATTTATACTAGCGCCCCCTAATGTGCCAGGCTGAAAGTGGGTTGAACCAAGGAATAATGTTCATCCTGCCACATGAACAAGATTTTTTTTTAATTTTCATTGTAAGTGGGCTAAAGCAGTTAATTAAAAGTAGTCTAACAGAAATGTAAATGCTGTAATTTGATTATTTTAATAAACCATGTAACTTGGATGGATTCGATGCTGGCGTGACCACAGTGCACACGTCTAATGTTGCTCACAGTGGTCCACGGGATCGCTCAGGGAGTTTGTGTGTTCGCTCAGACAAATAAAAAATTAGAGGGAACATTGGTCTTGACATGAGGTGGGAATAATGTTAGCTTCAGGTTTCTCATTTTAAACTTTAATTGCAGATGAAAGAACAAGGGAATTCTGTCTTTGCCTTTCAGTGTTATCAAAATTTACATGGTAATAGGGATAATTGTCACGGGCTGTGGCTTCAGACAGTATTTGCAGAGAGGATCCAAAAGCAGACACCCAAGGCAGGGCAGAGCTTAACTAAAGGCAAGCAGTTTATTAAAGGCAGGACAAACACACACACACACACACACACACACACACACACACACACACACACACACACGGGAAAAAGGAGGTTAAGACACTAAACTGAACAGAAAGCTAAACACTAAGAACATGGCACATAAGGCATACAACACCAAACAAGAGGCATGGAAAACCTGAAAGATGGTAGGAAGATGGACAGACAATCCAACAAGGTAAAAAAGATACATGGCACAAACACACACAAGGGTGAATAGGGAAAGGCTGTTCATCTCAGCATGGGAACATAGCTGAGGTGAACGAACATAATGAGACGAGGTAAGCAAAACTGAACACATTGAACACAGGACAGGAGACCGTCAAAATAAAACAGGAAACACACTGAGACTGAGACAGACAGGCTTGACACTGGGGTCAGGGAAGAAACAGACATGGGAACAAGGCGTGCACAGGAGACAAATCACAGCAACACGACTAACACGCACAGAGGGCGAATACTCAGCAAAAGAATCATGATTGCAAAAT